TTATTATATATTAATCAATAAATAAAATTAAATTAATTAAATTGAGATTAGTTCATAATATAATTATCCATATTACATATTATATTACATAAATAGAATCTTGTTAATTATTGGACTATAAAAAGTGGACTATAAAAGAATAAAAATGCAAAAACTCAGAAAAACTGAATAAAACTTCAAAAAATCCAAAAAACTTGAGTTTATTTAAAAACTCTATCTAGATTAAGTTTTTTTTAACTCGGGTTTTTTCAAACCCTGGCTTATTTATATATTTATTTTATCTTTTATAACATCTTTTATAACATGTAACATGTATAACATGTAATTTGAGAAAGAGAATCACATATTCATGTACTTACTCTACTCAACAAAAAATAGGGAACACTTTCGAACACGCTCAAAATTGCGCAATATTCAGAACCATAACTCGTGAAAAATCCCTTGTAGAAAAATTCATAGAAAAATCATTGTACAAAAAATCACTTGAAAGCACTTGAAAGTTTTAAATCTCTACTTTTGAAATCAGTAATTGATATTTCAATCTGATGGATCCTTTACGGAGCTTTACGAACACAAATAGATACTCATGAAATTTAAAAATTTTTTACAAAATTTACAAGGTCTATGACGTAAAATAAAATTGACACAAAAATGGGGTTTATAGCAGTCGAAAAAGTGAATCTTTGCTTTCAATTTATTTTTTATTGAATATTGATCATTTTTGCTCCAACGTTCAATAAGTTCAGTAACGTTCAACGTTCAGTGAAAAAAAATCGTATGTTTGTGTCCGTATAACTCCGTAAAGGATCAGTCAAATTAAAATATTAATTACCGATTTCAAAATAGGGATTGCAAGCTTTCAAATGTTTTTATATATTTTTTGTCTGCAATGATTTTTCACCGAGTATTATTACAGTATTCTGATTATTGCGCATCTTTTAGCTATTCGAAAGTATTTCCTATTTTTTGTTGAGCAGTGTATATTAAACAAATTTTTTTACCTTAACTGAGCAGTGTTGTATCATTTCTTTTGTAATCTAAAAGTTTGTTTATAATTTTTTTACGAAAAGATGAAACAACATTGATCAATATTTTCTGATAAGAGGCATTACAGAATTTTAGGGTGCAAAAATTGCTAAAATAAGATAAAATAAAAAAATAAAATTAAAAAATGTTAAAAATAATAAAATAAAATTTGGATCTCTACTATTAACTGTAATGTATAAGTAAAATTATACAACATAAATACACATGCACAATGTGTAAAGCTTTAAACACAATGAAAAGCACAGGCGATAGGAACAAGAAACAGTAAAAAAATGAGCCATCCGATATAGAGCTCCGGAATATAAATTCAATACATGAATCGATCACTAACCTATACTAATATAAATTTATCACTACAAATGTGCACAAACGTGAGACAAAAAACGTGGAACTGATAATAAGAACAATTTTCGATGCGTTGAATTTCCATTGCATGTTGCCTATTGATTATAATATCGCTAATAATAAGAAGAAAATCAAAATTAAATAATAAAAAAATATAAAAAATAATTATAATTAGAAGTATATAAATAATAATATGGTAAATAATAATAACAACTCAATACAATAAAATTAACAATAATAGTCAAGAAGGGCTACGAGCCAAAATAACTTTCAATCTTCAAAAAATAATAATCAACATTTTAAGCATAAACACTACAGACATTTCGACATCTATTTTTAATGACCCATTTTCAATGTTAAAATAAAATTGAAATGATAAAATTAGTATACATACAATATGTTAAGTAAATTATACGTACAATATGTTAAGTAAAATATGAAAATAAAAAAATACATAAAATTACTGTATCCTATTTAAAATTCCATGTGGTTCATGATCGACAAAAGTGGTACATCTCTGATTCTATAATGGAAATATTAATCCTTCGAAATAACTGCTGAGTGTCCTGCTAGAAAGATTTCTTTCTTTGTTCTTATTTGAATATAAGTTTTATTAATTAAAATTGTTCACTAATATAATATACTGTAATTTAATAGTAATCAAATTATATC